AAAAAAATAATCCCCAACCAAAACTACATACTCCTTAAATTGTTCTCGTTTCCAGACAGGCAAACTTGTTTTGCATATTTATTTTTTTCTTGAGCTGCTGCAAAGTTCAGGGACCCACGAGTATAATGACATGGTTAAAGAGGAGAAACAAAGCACGCTCTTTTCTTTTAGAACCAATTCGTTCCGACCCATTTGTCTTTGTTGTGTTGTTGTGGTATGAGTGACGAGATGAGGTGCTGGGTGGGTGGCAGGTGCTCTGGTTTGATTTGCTGCTTCTATCCTAACAGATAACTGTCGTCCTTAACTCACCTCATCCTTCTTTTCTGTGTATGTTACTTTCTCTGGAAGTGGGTGACTTGCTGGTGGTCTAGTGTGGTTTACTCCTTTCCTATCAAACGCCTATCGTCGTTAATCTCTCCTCCTTTTTCAGTAAGTGCATGTTACTCTTTAGTGACACGTCCGATCTTCGGCACTTATATGATCTATCTGTGATGCAAGTGCCGTAAAAATCTTACATGTACCCATTTTCAGACAAGCAAACTTGTTTTGCATATTTATTTTTATATTGAGCTGCTGCAAAGTTCAGGGACCTACGAGTATAATGACTTGGTTAAAGAGGAGAGACAAAGCACACTCTTTTCTTTTAGAACTAATGCGTTCCGACCCATTTGTCTTTGTTGTGTTGTTGTGGTGTGAGTGAAGAGATGAGATGGTATGTGGTTGGAAGGTGCTCTGGTGTGGTTTGCTGATTCTTTCCTATCAAACGTCTATCCTTCTTTTATTTCCTCCTTCTTTTCATTGTGTGTTACTCTCTACCTGTGTGGGTAGTTGGTGGGTGCTCTTGTGTGCTTTACTCCTTCTTTCCTTTTAAACACTTTCCGTCCTTATCTCTCCTCCTTCTTTTCAGTAGTCGCTAGTGACCCCTACAAATCTTCGGCATTAATAATTATCTATCAGTGATCCAAGTGCCGTAAACCTCTTGCTAAATCTATCCATATCTACCCCATGTACCCATTTCCAGACCAGCAAACTTGTTTTGCATATTTTCTATCTTGAGCTGCTGCAAAGTTCAGGGACCTACGAGTATAATGACATGGTTAAAGAGGAGAGACAAAGCACGCTCTTTTCTTTTAGAACGAATGCGTTCCGACCCATTCGTCTTTGTTGTGTTGTTGTGGTGTGAGTGTGAAGAGATGAGAAGAAATAATGTCTTCAAAGACAGAATCGATCCACACTCCATTTTAGCATCTCATCGATATAATTTGTCCTTGTTACTACTCTGTTTGAGTTTAAGCGCTTAGTTAGTCGGCTGTTTGCGCTGTAAGCTTCTCAAGAAGCTGAGAATGTTTATGGGTGTTCTATGGTCTACTTGGGGTAGTAATAATGGCTGCACAGTGCTCTTAGCTTGTTTCCGGGTGGGACAGAACGATATATAAATACAACTATCTATTATTATCAGTGGGATTTAATGGCGAATGTAGTAATAATAATGATAATGCATGTAGTTGTAAAATGCACAGAGCATGCTGTGGAGAGAGTGGATATGCGCTATGCAAATGAAATTATCTTTATTAAATAGATCTAACATGTAGTTATAAAACGCATAGAGCGTGCTGTAGAAGATGGATATACGTTATAGAAATGATGATATTATCATTACTAAGTACATCGAACGTTGCGATTGACTCTGGTTGAGTTTTGAGCTAGGAAATGTCCTTCATTGTTCCAGACAGACTCGTAGTTACAAATTGTTTCAACTCCTACTGTAGGAGCTACTAGTAGTTGGAAGGCGTCACTGGTAGACCCTACTTCTTTCTTTTCCCTCTGTTTTTGATATTTGTCCGTTTTGCTTTTTCCAGAACTTTAAGACTGTCATCGTGTCGTTGTTCTTTTCGTTACTCAAACACACAAACAAACACACAAATAAACAAAGAGAAGAGAAAGGATGTTATATGAACATACCCGCGTTCACTTAATGTACGTTTATGTGCATTCACGTGCGCAAGGGCTTTTGTGTGTGTGTGTT